CCCCCCCAACAGGGGCCTCAGCTGCCTCTCAGGGCTACTCCTCCAAATGCAGCTAGTGCTCTGGAGGCCAGACCCCCACTCCCTGGACATGCGCCGGTACAAAGGTCCACGGGTCCTCAAGCGACCCCCTTTCAGCACCACTCACCTCCTGAAAGGACACCGGGACTTCTGGGGTAGGGGTTGGGCCTCCTAAAGTGAGGCCTGTCCTTCTGTCCTGGTGGGCTCTGGAAGCTGTCACCAAGAGCTCAGCCTTCCTTGAGGCTACACACCACAGGTCTCCTTTTCTGGAGCCCTGCCTGCCCCTCCAGCATCTGATCCATGGCCTGGCAGTGATGGGAGCTACTCATGGGCCCCTCTGTCTTCCCTGGGCAACCTGTCCCCACCAAGGAGCGCCTGAACAGACACACGGCCCCTCTGAATGCAAACCTGAGACGCTGAGCCCCGGGGCCCCCTGAGAGGCTGCTGCTCTGGGCTGACGCACCCCTCCCTGCAGGTGGGTCAGGGCGGAGCACTACAAGTACAAGTTCAGCCGCCCTGGGGGCCTGCACGCCGCAGATGGCAAGTGGTGGATCCGGAAGAGGATCGGTCCCTACTTCCCCCCACTCAGCCTTCCGGACCTGAAGGACTACTTTAAGTCACGGGAGTGGCCGTACCCAGAACCAAAATAGAGGGGCCCAGGACCTGTGCGCTGAGAAATAAAGTGGGAAGGTATTGCTACCCCTGCACCGCCGCCTGCACCCAGCATCCAGGAAAGCAAGCCAGGGGGGCATGGGGGTCTGCTGGGGTCTGGGTGGCCATCTGTGCTTTCCTCATTTCCCACAATGGGACCCAGGCAACTCAGCCCTCTGCTCTACCTCACCCCTGGACATCTGCCTCGTCACCGGACTCCCCAGACACGGGTGTCTCAAGGAGCCCTGGTTGATCCCGGACCACCAGCACCTACTACACTGAGCCTCAGTTCCTACCACTGGTCATGGCCTGGCCAGGGGGGTCCTTGGCACCTGGGGTGCTGGTCCACAGCCAGGCCCTTACCCTCCAGCAGCCAAGCCCGTTGTAGACCTGGCATGGCTGTGAGGAAGCCCTTACTCCCTGCCTCTCCTCTGCACCCGCGGGCTTGGCTCCCACCACATCCAGGACAGGGACTCGGGAGAAGCCAAGGCTCCCAATCCCCCACTCATGTCCACCCCCTCAGAACCGCCGCAAACCCTACACACACCCCTCCACCTGGCCTGGGCCCTGCTCTCCTCCCCAGTGACCAGCCATTTGTCCCCTCTTGAGCACAGTGTGTCCTCATGCTCCTCTGTGACCACGTGTCCTCCCCCTCAGTCACACACCATGGAGCCTCCTGCTCCCTGACCTGCGGGTGAGGGGGCAGCAGAGTGGTCAGCCCCAGCCTGGGTGCTGGGGTGGAAGGGGTCCCCACGGTGGCAGTTTTGAGGCCCAGTTGTTAGAAGTTAAAGTAGATTAATTCTGTTTTGCTTGGCAATCCTTGGGCCCCACTGCAGAGAACTGGGTGCAGCCCAGAAGCTTCACTGGAGTGTGAGTGAGCAGGGAGGGTTCTGCCAGGAAATAAGCCAGCACCCGGCGGTGCCACCCCGCCTGCCCAGCCAGGCTGAGGGACCCTGGGCAGTTGGATCCAGCCCCACCCAGGGGACAGCGGCCAGGGGGTGCCGGGCTGCCCTCCCTTCTCCCTGGCCTGGCAAATGCTGGTGGGGGTGGCCACCCATCCCTTCCTCTTGCCCCACCCCCAACAGCCCAGGGCACCTGGCCATACTGTGGAGAGCCCTGGAGAGGTGGTTCAGGCCAAGAGGCTGGGACGAGGTGGGTACAAGTGCAGGTCTGTGTGGAGCAGCCCCCTACCCGCCTGGGGGGCCAGCCCAGGTGCCAACAGAAAGGCCGTGTTCCTGCTCACAGGGAAACAGGCGCCCTGTGTCTGTAGCAGGACAGACAGGGCCTCAGACAAGGAGCCTGGAGCCAGCAAGTCTGCCTGCGGCAGCCAACCACCAGCCACTGCCTGGGCAGCCCTTCCTGGGGGGCCGCCCTGGGGGCTCTGCCAATGGGTGGGGGCACCAGGGGGCCTGAGGAGACCCTGCACCTTGGCTCCGGTGGTGTTCCACACCCCTTGCCCAGAACCTCGAGTGTCCTCCCTGCCAGGAGTCATGGTGGCTCCCCACACACACACACCCCCAACCCTTTTCACACACACCCGGGGCTCGCTGCCACCTGGGGCTGGACAGGGGAGGCCCCTGTGACCCAGGACTGCTGACTGTGGACTCCTCTCTGGGCCTTTATCCAGCCATGCCCCCCAAGCCTCCAGGACACCCTAAGCCTCTCCTCCTTCCAGAGGCTCGTGTGTCCCCCGATGCCCACCAGTCTTTCAGCAGCCTCTGGAGCCTCTCCTGAAGCCACTCCCTCCCATCAAAGGGGGTCCCACTGAACGCTTCCTTCACTCACAACCCTCTTACAGCCCCACCTCCCTGAGTGTGAACCTAAGGTCACAGCCCATCTCCCCAGCCACACCCCCATCCCTTCCATTCCTCACACCCACCAGCAGGTCAGGCCTTGGGGACCCACTCTGCCTTCTCTGGACCCCAGGCTGCTCCAGATTTTGCTCTAGGGTGATGGGGATCTAGTCCTGGCCCCCCAGTGCCAAGTGGCACCCGATACAGGTCTGCTGGGTAAACCGTCCACCTAATGACAGAAAAAGGCTCTGCCTGACACTGCCCTCTCTCCAGCTCATGAAAATCTGCTGTTTCTGATTCAGCCCAAGAGACACTTCTAGAGGGGAGAGGGTGTTCAGGGACATGAGGCAGGGGGCATTAGCCCACCTTCTCTCCAGACAGCTGAGCCTGAGAGAATGGGGCACATTCTTCCGCCCTCGCTCTCCCCTCCCAAAACCGTCCACCTGGGGTTGAGGGGCCTGTGAGATCTCTTACCCACCTGATAGGGACACACAGCACCTGCTGGAAACTGAATGTGCATCAGACTCAGGTGAACATGCTAGAGTTGCCACAGGAAGGACCACCTGCGCCCCTGCCTCCTCCCAGGGATGTGAGACTTGGTACTCTAGACACCAAGATACCATCCACCAGACAGTGGCTGTGCTCAGATGACCCAGGGCCTGGCTTTTGGCCCCATCCAGAGCAGCAGGCTTAGCCAGGGGCCTTGTCCAGGGAGAACTCACACCCTGCCTCCCCCTTGCTCTAGCCAACAGGCGAGGGGCAAAGGGCAGAGCTCCCATTGCACATGAGGCAGGATGTGTGTGAGCCTTCATCAAGCCAAAGGGGTCCTTGGGGTCTTATTTGCTGAGATGGTTTTCCACTCAAAGTGCATTTTTGGCACCTGCTAAGGCCAAGCACATGCTCCTCTCAGCCGCGCTCAGATGAGACATTCATCCTCAGGGATTCAGTTCCAACACCACTAGGTAAGGCAGAACTCAATATATCAGCAAATCAGCCCTTAAAACTGCAAAGTAATCAACAAAATTGTGAACCTTTAGCTTAACTGACAGAGAAGATGCAAATAACTAAAATTTTTTGAAAGGGCATCACTGCCGGCCTTACAGAAATAAAAATATAACAGTACTATAAACAAGTATATGCCAACAAACTAGGTAACCTAGATGAAATGGACAAATTCCTAAACACACACAAACTACTAAAAGTGACTCAGGAAGAAGTAGAAATTTTGAAAGGATCTATAACAAGTAAAGAGAGTGAATCAGGCATCAAAAACCTCCCAACAGCCCAGCCGGGCGTGGCTCAGTGGTTGAACATCAACCTAGGATCCAGGTGATCGGGGTTCGATTCCCGGTCAGGGCACATGCCCGGGTTGCGGGCCCGATCCCCAGTTGGGGGCGTGCAGGAGGCAGCCGATCAATGACTCTCTCATCATTGATGTTTCTATAGCTCTCTCTCCCTCTCCTTTCCTCTCCCTGAAATCAATAAAGATACATTTTTTTAAAAAAAACCTCCCAACAGAGAAAAAGATACTGGGCCAGAAGGCTTCATTACTGAACTCTCTCAATTTAAAGAATTAATACCAATCCTTCTCACACTCTTCCAAAAACATACAAGAGGAGGGAACACCTAGCTCATCCTGTGAGGCGTGCATTACCCTGATGACTCCAGACAAAGACCAGTATCCTTTGTGAATATAGATGCAAAAATTCTCGAAAGGACTAGCAGAACAAATCCAACAACATATTAAAAGGGTCATACACCATGACGCAGGCGGGTTCTCCTGGGAATGTCAGAGCGGTTCAACATGAGATCAGTTGACGCAATACACCGCGTTAACAGAACGCAGAGGGGGGAGCCACACGACCACCTCGATGGATGCAAAAGCATTTGACAAGATCCAATACCTTTCACAATAAAAATCACTCCAAAAACTAGGAATAGAAGGGAACTTCCTCCACATAAAAGGCATTTATGAAAAACCCACAGCTAACATCATACTCAACGGCGAAAGACTGAAAACTTTCCCCTTAGAACAGGACCAAGACAAGGATGCCTGTTTTTACCACTGCTGCTCACCAGAAGTAAAACACTATTCACAGGTGACATGATCCTATATACAGTCCTTACTGCGTAACAATGGGGACAATTTCTGAGAAATGAGTCATTAGGCAGTTTTGTTGTTACATGGACATCTTAGAGCGCACTTACACAAACCTGATGGCACAGCCGACTGCACCTAGGCTTCGTGGTACAGCCTGCTGCCCCTGGGCTACAAGCCTGTATAGCATGTTAGTGTACAAAGCGACCAGAGATTAAATCAAGCTCAGGAGAAACTGATGCAGTCTAGAGACCAGCAAACACAAGATGTATGAGGCATACTGTTGTCCAGATGTATGAGCCAACTTTTTATGTCAAAAGTATACATTCTAAAGTAATGATAAAGTGTGTAGTATCGCAAATACATAAACCAAGAAGAGTCGTTTATTATTATCATCAAGTGTTACGTACTTGACATAGTTGTATCTATTCTTTTATATGCCTGTCATCGCAGGGGTGTTTACACAGCATCACCACGAGGACTGAGTTGCACTGTGACATCACCAGGTGGTAGGAATTTTTCAGCTTCATTATAAACTTTCAGGACCACCATTGTATATGTAGTCTGTGGTTGACTGAACCGTCATTGTGTGGCACATGACTGTATAGGAAAGTCCAGTGATCCACAAAAACACTGCTGTTGTTAATAAACTAATTCATCAAAGTTGCAGGGTACAAGATTAACACAAAAATCAGACGTGTTTCTATACATCAGCAATGAGCAATCAGAAAAAGAAACTAAGGAAACAATTCCATTCACAATAGCATCCAAAAGAACCAAATACCTAGGAATAAATCTAACCAAGGAGGTGAAAGACCTGTACTCTTAAAAACTATAAAACATGCCAGGCCGGTCGTGGCTCAGCTGTTGAACATCAACTTGGGATCCAGGTGATCAGGGTTAGATTCCCAGTCAGGGCATATGCCCGGGTTGCAGGCTCGATCAATGACTCATCATTGATGTTTCTATCTCTCTCTCTCCCTCTCCTTTCCTCTCTCTGAAATCAATAAAGATAGATTAAAAAAACAACAACTATAAAACATTGCAAAAAGAAATTAAAGACAAACTAAATGGAAAAGCATTTGTGTTCATGGGTTGGATGACTTAATACTCTTAAGATAACAATACTATCCAAAGTGACCCACAAAGTCAATGAAATCTTTAACAAAACTCCAATGGCCTTTTTTTGTAGAAATATAGCAGCCAATCTTCAAATTCATATGGAATTGCAAGAGGCCCCCAAATAATGAAAATTATCTTGAAAACAGAAAGTTGAAGGGCTCACACTTTCAGATTTTAAAACTTAGTACAAAGCTACAGTAATCAAAACTGTGGTAGTGGCATAAGGATAGACATATAGACCAATGGAATAGAATGGAGAGCCTAGAAATAAACCCTCACACATACGGTCAAATGATTTCTGACAAGGGTGCCAAGACAATTCAGTGGAGAAAGCAGTCTTTTTAACAAATGATGTTGGGAAGAACAATGGATCTAAACACTAAAGAATTAAGTTGGACCCTTACCTCACACCATATTCAAAAATTAACTCAAAATGGATAAAAGACTAAACATAAGAGCTAACATTATTAAAACTCTTAGGAGAAAAGAGGTAAATCTTCATGACCTTGGATTTGGCAATAAATTTTTAGATATGACACTAAAGGCAGAAGCAACAAAAGAAAAATTAGACTTCATAAAAATTTAAAATTTCTTGGGCATCTAAGAATGTTACAAAGTAAGTGAAAAGACAACCAACAGAACAGGAGAAAATATTTGCAAGTCATATATCTGATAAAATTCTAGTGTCCACAGTATACAAGGAACTCTTACAGCTAAGCAACAAAAAGACAAACACTGCAATATAAAAGGACTTGAATAGACATTTCTCCAAGGAAGATATACAAATGGCCAACAAGCCCATGAAAAGATGCTCAACATCCTTAGTCGTTAGGGAGAGGCGCATGAAAACCACAGTGAGTTACCACTTCACACCCACCAGGATGGCTGTAATTTTTTAAATAGTGTGTAACAAGTGCTGGTGAGGACATGGAGAAATTGGAGCCTTTTTACATTGCAGGTGGGAAGGCAAAATGGTGCAGCTACTGTGAAAAAGTCTGGCAGTTCCTCAGAAAGTTAAACAGAATTAGCATACAATCCAGCAATTCCACTTTTCGGTACATATCAAAAAAATTGGGAAGGAAAAACCCAGATGGCGACTAGGTAACAGGTGCACCTGCTGCCTCCCACAACCACATCAAAATTACAACTAAAATACAGAACCACCATCACTCAGAGCCTCCTGAAATCTGGCTGAACAGAAGCCCCACAACCAGGGACCTGAAGAAGCATCAAGACAGGGAGGAGGGGCGGAGACTCGGGTGGATCCAGGCTGGATCAGTGACTCACCGCGGGCCCACACTCAGTGCCACCGGTTAAACCCAGGAGGGAATCTCCGCGGCAGAGTTTTCCCGGAGAAGGGAGGGGTCCCAGCCCCACAGCAGGCCCCCAGTCCAGGGCTCCAGGCCAGGAAGAGACGCCCCCACAACTCTGGGCTGTGAAACCAGTGGGGACTGTGGCTGAGGGTCGCGGAGGCTGTGGGAGCCCCAGTGGCTCCTCTTAAAGGGCCCGCGCACGGACTCACTCAGACGCCCCCTCTGAGCCCAGCGCAGGGCAGCAGCTGGAAAGGACCTGGGATACTGGAGAGGAACTAACCTGCCTGAAATCTGGGCGAGAGGTGGAGGAGCAGCTTCCTCCCAGGCAGAAGGGCTGGCAGAGGCCATGGCTCCTTTGGCGAGTCCT